CGAGGAGAGAGAGATAAAGAGATGATGAGGGAGGAAGCGACTACGAGAAAAGTGGTATATATAGAGAAAGAAAAAGGGGTAGCGGAATGGCCATTGAGAGATTGCCACGTGGATGATAATGGATTTTCCGTAAAATATTACGATACGGCGCGTCCGAGGTAAGAAAGAACGAAAGAAAGAGGAGGCGATGGTCAAAATTGGAATAGGGAGGGGTTAATTTCCAAAATTGGAATAAGTGGAGGGGGGTAATTTCAAATTTGGGTCAATAAAAACGGTAACTTTATTTACTCGACGCCCACCCAACAACTCAAATGGTTTTTTCTTAAATTACAATGATTAAAATCGAGATTTTGGAATTTTAATGATTAAAATGAATATAAATTGAAAGTAATCCGCTGAAATAAATCAAAGCTAAAATATACGTCTAAATTAATTTTGTAACTAATAGAATTCGTGTAAACTTTTAAGGGAGTAAATATTCTCATTTTATTATTATTATTATTTAACTAATTTAGTCACTAGCCATGAGTGATAGTATTTATATGGACTCATTCTAAATTTTCGATCTTAATTCTTTTAAGTTTGTGAACATTATTACTTAAATGTTAATATGTTATGTTAATATGCGATACTTTAATCCATAAGATTATTAGATACTTAAAGAAATTTATAGTAAGCGACAAAATTAGTTGTTATATTTATAAATTTATTTAAACGAAAAGTATAAATATGGCAAGATTTTCCTCAAATATGTTACAAATCTACCAATTTTAAATTACTGGTAAAATATATCATTAGGTTATATATTAGATTACTTATTATCTTGTTTAAAATTAAAAGTTGGATCCCACTTTCAAATGAGGTCAAAGCAAAGAGGGGGGGGGGCAAGATGGGTCAATTGGAGTGCAACTTTTAGGAGTAAGGGAGACAGTTAAGTCATAGCTAAGCTGAGCCAAGTGGAGGTTCAAACACGGCTATGAGAATAAGATGTCTTTTTTTTTTCAATTATAATTTTCTTTGAAGCTTCGTTTATATTTTGTGTGTTGTTTTGCGTTATTGATGGGTCCCTTCTTCTCGGGTCTGAGAGGCCCATTTTGCAACAACAAATGGGACCTTCATATAAATTCAAAATTCCCTTTCATCATTGAATTAGGATGACATGTCAATTGAATTTGCATCAATCTTGGAATCAACGACACCTGTAAAATAGAATAACACTAAAGATCGATGTAGCTCTTGCCACACATGTTCCGATGTTTAAGTCAGAACCGAAGAAATTGAGTATCGAGGGTAGGATATTTTGGCATAACAAAGAGTAGAGATTTGTAGCGTCCCCTTAAGATTTGGTTCACCCTCTTATTTATAGAAGTCGAATCCTAATCCAAATTATATAGGTCGAATCCTAATCCTTTTAGGATCTACATAGGTCGAATTTTAGTGTTCTCGGGAGATCTGAACTCCTGGGCCAATATATTTCTGTCTAACGTTGGATCAAGGGTTGAGATAGGACAGATCTGGCTGCACAAAAGTCGATGAGAACCAAAGGAATGGTCGAGAACACCTCGACGCCGACCACGGCTTAACTCAGATCAATGGGTTCGATGCTTACGTGGTTCTTATGCTTCTTCCCTGACCTAATCTCTACTTCTTTTATCTTCCCACAACATGTTATTAAACGTAAATATATTATTTAAAATTATTCATAATATTTATTATGTTTATATTAGTGATCTTTTTATTACGAAAATGTTGAGAAGGAAACAAAAATTTAATAATACCTTGACAAGGAGTTAAAATCCTTCAAATATCGCTCTGCATTATTGATTATCTTTTTCTAGTGACCCCAAATATTTTATAATCTCTTTTTATCTCTATCTTCTTGTCACGTTGATGCGTGACATTTACTTTGTTAATATCAGTTTTCTTTCTTTTTCTTTTTTAACCTTTTTGTTCCCTTTGTGGATTACTGTTTTTAGCTGACTTATCCATTTTAAATTATACATACAACAATATTTTTTTAAAAATGCAACTTGCCCTATGTAAAGTTATTCGGCTTTCTTGAAACAAATCATTTCATAGTACACACCTAGGACCGTAGCTTTTCATAACTTGTAGTTAGTGCGGAAAAAGATTAAAAAAAAAAAAAAAAGTCTCAAAATATCTATCATCGTCTTTGGAGAGGAATGACACTGCACGAGTGTGAAGCTAGAATCTCCTCCTCTAATATTTTTAATTAATATTATAAACTCCCAGATCAGATATAAAAAGATGACTGTGTAAATTTAAATCATCAAATAGTTTGAGGGTAAAAAATACTTAAAAAGTAATTTTGGATTAAATATTTACTTCATTTAAAGGCATTAAAGTCACTATTACCTTTATATGTAAAATCACAACCAAGCCCTAATGATTCTTTGTTGTTTGACAATGAAAGCTGAAGATGTTTGTGCATCTTTTTTAATTGGGCGATATCTAATGAGTAAATATCTTCCAAATCCAAACATTATAATAATTTCTCAAAATGCGTGTTTTTATCCCAACCACTTGTCAAGTTGGCAATAAAATACATGATGGATGGATAACCAAGTTGCACTCTCAATTTTTCATTTGTCAATGCCTTTTTTCTTATAATCTAATATAGATTTAGGGTTTCGGAATAATTAGGAATTTCCAACCTACACATCATAATCATATTATGACTCTATAGGCTAATTACATTTAATTTTGTCCTTTCTTTCCATGATCTCACTTTATTATTTCCATGCATATCAATTTTGAAAATTTTTAGTTTTATTAAAGCAACTTTTGGTCGCTGAATGATAGAGCGTAGGGACCTTGGGCTTTATGGTATCACATACCTTGAGGTCTTGGGTTCAAGCTCCGCGCCAGTTATGGTGTTGCTTAGCTTCGACAACGAGCCTCGGTTATAGGATTCTATAGAGGAAGCCACACGGTATCGATTTTTGGAAAATTAAAATAATAATAAGAAAAAGAATAAAAGCAACTTTTCAGCCCCACTCTATCAATCATCAGTCTTTTCCTGTTGAGATAAACCCTAAGAGCAAGGACCTAATATAATTGTGGTTTAATACACTAAAAATACAATTCAAACCAAAGTTTGATAGCATTTATGGAATTTAATACAAGAGGGTCCTCGCTGTAGCATAGGGAGAACAAGCATTAAAGTTTTGAACTATGATATATGGGAGAAGAAACAGACAAAACAATATGCAATAAATAACTCCTTTTTGGATGCAAACTTCTTTTTTTTTCCCTTATAGTTGAAGATTTTTGTGACAGGCAAAAACTTAGAACCAGTTAAATTTTGTTTGTTGAGCCATCACAAGCTAAAACTATAATTCAATCGATTAAGATATTTCTTTCCCAACTGTTAATTGTACATTAAATGTTTCTCTGCATTAAAAACTGATGCAGTTGATGAAGTCATCCACCGGGCTTCAGCTGAACTGGACAATTCTGTTCATAAGATTAGGCAACACTGTTACATGGCTGCAGATGATAGTGGGGAACAATGTTTTATGTTTTATGTTTGTGTTTTGTTTTGTCATGTTCTCAGATCAAAATATTTAGATTCCTCTCAAATTCAGCCCCAAGAAACAACCAAAAATTTCAGAACTCTATTTCTTGTTTTCATCTGCTAAATAAGGATCCCCCTTCAGACAATTAAACAAACCACTATTCATCCTCCTAGATTATGTCAAACTTGATATCTGCTTAGATCAAAATATCCATGGTCAGAATTAATGCTTCCACATGATTTGGTTCTTAATACATGTTATTTACATCTAACAATCGTTTATCTCTCTCCATAGACTGCAGTGTCGGCTGTTAGACACAGAAAAAAAGGGGGTTTTTTTTAGACAAAACGTGATTGAGAAGTGATGGAGAAGATAACTAAATAATGTAGGACTACTCGTCTATATTTCTTTCACATGCTCACAGGTTCCCATGGCGGGCTCCCCCTCCATCAACATCATATGGTTGGGACTTTTGAAAACTTAATATCAGGCTATCAACTTTCATTTAGTTTCATAGACTTAGATCATAATGAAGCTGATTGATAATTACAGCAACGTGATCAAATTCGCTTAAGCAGACGTATGAAGGCTACATTATTTACATTCATTTGTATACATAATCTACAGATACCAAGACTGTTTACGAGTGAACGATGAATAGAAGCTCTTATCATGGAGGGAGTGACTGACTGTTAACTGACTAATCAGAGAGTAGTAGGCTCCACTACGACCAAGCCCGAGAAGAACCGCATGTGATCCTTGTTCGATGATTCTACCGTGTTTTATTACAGCTATTGTATTTGCCTTTTGTATAGTCGACAACCGGTGAGCGACAACTATGCTTGTTCTACCAACCATCACCTTATCCAATGCTTCTTGGACTAAAGTCTCTGACAGGCTATCCAAAGCACTGGTTGCCTCATCTAGCAGAAGGATTTTTGGATTTTTCAACATGGCTCTTGCTAATGCTATTCTTTGCTTCTGACCTCCTGATAACTGAACTCCTCCTTCTCCACATTGAGTTTCATAGCCATTCTTCATAGAACTGCAATAACAAAACCAAAAAAAAAGTTAAAAGAAATAGTCAATAGATTTGATGAAAATAAGGCTGTATAAAAGGAGATGGTGATGAATTTAACCTATTACCTAATGAATTCGTGAGCATTGTCAAGTTTTGCAGCCTTCCTAATTTCGTGTTCTGAACGATCCTTTTGGCCAAATAAAATGTTCTCGCGGATAGTTCCTACAAAAAGTGTAGGTTCTTGACTAACCAGAGCAATGTGTGACCTCAAACTTCTCAGATTATAGCTCTTGATGTCTTTTCCATCAATGAGGACAACTCCTTTTTGAGGGTCATAAAATCTTTCGATCAATCCAATGATGGTGGATTTCCCCGAACCACTCTGCCCAACCACTGCGACGGTTGTTCCAGCTTCAATCTTGAGATTCAAGTTCTTGAAGACCAAATGGTCAGGCCTAGCCGGGTATGCAAAAAAGACATTGTTCAATTCTAATTCTCCGCGAATCGTCTCTTTAACTTTTATCCCTTCACGTTGTTGTGGGTCAATTTCGGTTTTTCTATCAAGGATTGCAAAGATTGATACTATGGCATTTGCACCTTTTGCTATATCAGAGGTCATGCTTCCTACATCTGCAATATTCTTTCCAGTGCTCATCAAGATGAAAAATGCTTGAAAGAGCTGTTTAGGCGTTACTGATCCTTGATTTATTAGTCTCCCTCCATACCAAAGTGTCAAAGCTGTAGTTGCAGTAGTCAGAAATAAGGAGCTGAATAAGCCAAAACCTGAAATCCACGATTGTTTTACATTCTCCTGCTTGGGGGCTTTCATTGAAGCTTCAAACAGACTCAAAATTCTATCCTGAGAGGAAAATGCTGCAATAGTCCTGTGGTTGGTAATGGCTTCACTAGCTAGTTGACTGCCTTCACCCTGTGCTTTCCTGGCTTTTTCAGATATACTTCTCATTAGAACCTTTCTTGAGTAGAAGCTTCCAATGATAAGTGGTTGCATAGCAATTGCTACAATAGCTACTCTCCATGTCACAAGTAATCCAAGCACAAATGCGAGTGTGGCAGTCACAAATACCTGAACCAAAAGCGACGTTCTTTCTGCTACAAGAGACCGAACCAAGTTCCCTTCAACAGCTAGTCGTGCGCATATGGCTGCACTTGTATTCTCCTCTTGATCAAACCATCCAATCTCAAAGGTCAGGATTTTCTCAAGCATTCTTTCTCTCACCCTCTTGGTTAAATTCTCCCCCATAATTGCAAAGCTGTAATGTTGGACTAGATTGGCTATGCAGCTAAGAATTGTTATACCTAAAAATGTGAAGCAATAAAATCTAATGTTTGATTTAATGGCGTCACTGTCCTTTAGGAAATAAACTGAGGCGATTGTTCCTAAACAATATGAATATATTGGCTGAGTAACTCCAGTGCCTATAGCACCCATACAACCAAGTAATGCTTGTTTCCACTCGGGTGCATTTAGTCTCCAAAGATGCCATTGAGAAGGAGACCGAGAAGAACAAGAGGTGTTCTTCAAGCCTTCACAATAGTTGTAGTCACTAGAGTCAACGTCAAACGAATATGGGCATGACATGGAATATACTGGGCTTCTCATCGGGCTACTTCGACGGACCGATATCTGATTTACTGGTGTCTTGGGAGTCTTGTCTCTTCTAGCAGAATTATACAAATAACTGGAAGCTTCATTATTCGTGCAAGATTGCTGCATTTGCACCATTTTGCTGTAAATTCCTCCATTATCTCTTTGAATTAACTCCTCATGAGAACCTGATTCCGCCACTCTACCTGATTGAAGAACCAGGATCTGATCAGCATTTAGAATCATTGAGAGACGGTGGGCGATAACAATTGCAGTCCTTCCATGTGAAGCTTGGTCCAGGGCTTCCTGTACAATTCTTTCAGACTCTGCATCCAAAGCACTTGTGGCTTCATCCAACAGAAGAATTTTGGGGTCTCTGATTAGAGCTCTTGCTATGGCAATTCTTTGCCTTTGCCCTCCAGATAATTGAACACCAAATTGCCCCACCTGCATTCAACGCTAAATTTTTTGAATCAAAATCAAGACAAAGAAGTCATGAGACCAATTAAAAGAAGAAGAAACAAGGCTAGGCTTACTTGAGTTTCATATCCACCAGGTAATTTTGCAATGAAATCATGAGCATTTGCAGCCTTAGCTGCTCTCTTAACAAGTTGCATAGAAGCTCCTTCCTTACCAAACAAAATATTTTCCTTTATGGAGGTTGCAAATAGAATTGGCTCTTGATTGACTAATCCCATTTGGGATCTCAGCCATTTAAGCTGAAGCTTCTGTATTCTATGACCATCAAGAAGAATGTCTCCTTTGACAGCATCATAAAATCTTTCTAGTAAATTAATCACAGTGGACTTGCCTGAGCCACTACCACCAACAAGGCCTACTGTCTCACCAGCTTTTACTTTCAAATTAAGTCCTTGAAGAATGGGGTTTTCGGGTCTTGATGGATAAGAAAATTCAACATCTCTAAATTCAATCCGTCCTTTTAAATGGTCCAAGGTTTTTCCTCTACCATCTCCAGCATCAATGGCGGGAATGCAGTCGGTCATCTTAAAAATGCGAGCTGCTGCAAGTGTTGACTCAGAGATGAAAGAGAGATTTGGGAGTGCATTCATTGCACACCTGAACAAGCAAAAAGACACATCATTTTGTTCAAAACTATGATGTAAATTTGGCAGATACCAAGGAGAGAAAGAAGAAGCCAGTCACTCACAGTCCACCAAAAATGATACAGATTCCAGAAATCAAAATGGGTCCACCTTTTTCTCCTTTTTCGGTGACGAGAATACCGCCTACCCATGCCTGGAATGCCCAAGCTGCATATATCATTGCCATGCTGCCCATCATAAGTCCCTTCCCAAGTCCTTGTTTAATGCCAAAGTACATACTTTTTTGAAGTGCATTACTGAACTTCTCTAAAGTTTGGAGCTCCCCTACGTATGAATACACAGTGCGGATTGAAGAGATTGCTTGTTCGGCAATGCCACCAGCAACACCATATGAATCTTTGGCCCTAGCACCCAAGTCCTTATGGACCTTCCCCAATCCAACCCCAGGAAGGATAAACATGAGAGAGAATGGAAGAGCAGCCAAAGCAAGCCGCCATGAGAGCACAAAAGCAGCAGGAATGCAGAAGATAAAGCCCGAAAGGTGAGCCAGAAAGTTCGGTATCTAGAACCAAAGGAAAATCCATGTTAGGTTTGATGCAAAAGGTATAGAAGAATGAAAAGGTTTGATTAGGGAGTTGAAAACCTTCTCAGCTATGGTATCCTGGATTGAGTGGCACTCAGAAGTGATGGAAGAAACAAAGAGAAATGTAGAAGAACCAGCTTGGTTACTGTCGAAAAAACCAGCTTCTTGCCTCAGAACTGATTTTAGGTACTCCATTCTCATTCTGGATGTCTGTCTTTCTGCTGTCCTGGTCCAGCACATTCCCTCTGCCGGTCAAAAACATAGAGGTTTTAGCGTTCCCTTGAAAGAAACAGCTAAAAACAAGATTCCAACAATCTTTGCTCGACCAAGTTTAGCCAAAACAATCCATCTATTATTACACAAAGTTACTGAGAGGAAATAAATCGGATTGAGATGCATACGGCTCTAAAATCACATTTCAAGAACTCAAATTACAAACAGACAAGACATGCCCTCGGTTTTGAAGGTAACATCCAAACATCCTAATGCAGCTATTAAGTTCTTACCAAATAAAGCACAGATCCCAACACCAAAAGCAATATAGAGCAGCCTGAGTGTGTACTGCAAGCAAACAGATAGATTACAGGCTACAGCTAGTAAATTCCATTGAAGAAAATGCACTGAACTAGAAAAGTAAAGTACCTTGTCCACCACTTGATTGGAAGAAGTGTTAGGATTAGAGCGAGAATACTGATTGATCATACCACTAAGAACAAGCATAGTGAGTGGGGTTGTAAGCCCATCTCCAATGCTCCCCAAAGAACCCAATAAAAGCAGAAACTTATCAACCCCATCAGCATATCTGAAAAGGCCACTTTTCTTCATGCCCATAATGCCTTCTAAGAAAATACAGGGCGTCCAACTCCCAACTCAGGTCGAAGCCTTCTCCAAGTAACCTTGAATTTAACACTTGCAGAACTGAGATCCCTATGGTGGGGGGCGGCATTTTGTCTGGGATCAAAACTGAGCTCAATGCCATTCCAAATGGCAGGGAGTGGAACCAGTAGTTGGCTTGTTGATTAGGATTTTCCATGCAAACAGTCGGTAGAGTCATCAGAAAAAGGGTGAAATAGAATCCCTTGGGTTAAATACTGGAGCACAAAGGGCCAAATTTAGTTCTTTCACCTGCCCACAAGCATTAAGAAGAAAAACAAAAACAAAAAAAGCCATCTTGGGAATTTTTGTCTTGCTTGCGAGTTGCACTTGAGCCATGGGATTTGGTAAAAAATATAAACAAGAATTTTGTTTCCTTCACCTGGGTGAATCAGAAAGGGCTTTGTACACGAGAAACAATAGTTTAATGCCTCCTTTACAAGCATTTCTGAAAATGACAATTAAATAGATGGTCCAAAACTAAAAGGTTTCATAATAATTCATCCAACAAGTGAGATGGATGTAAGGAACCCAATTCATATGGAAATTGGGCCGAGCTCAACCCACCCACATCCTCCAGACAAGTATTTCAGTGTTGTTGGACTTTAGGCTGCGTCAGCCATCAATTTAATTGGCCTTCTTCAAATTAGAGATTCAAACAAGCGGGATAGTTTACAAGACTCAATCGACTAAGAAGTTAAAAATTTCAACTCCACATCTCATATATTGTTGAACTAAAAGAATAAAATAATAAGGGAAGAGAGTGGGCAAGCGTGCGGTCTTGATTCTGTAAAAGAAAAAGGGTTAAATATACTCTCACACACACACATATCCATGAATGAAATCTTAATTTACAAAACTGGATTTTTTTAGGGAGAAAAAAAAGAGATTAAAAATTGGGGAAACCCAACCCAAAGAAGACAAAAGAAATGGAATGGTTGAGAAAGAAGCGTACCCAAAAATTGTCTTTTGCACTTCACTTCACTTGGCTTGGTCGTGGTACTGCTGACCAAACACCAAAAGAAGGAAAAAAAAAAAAAAAAGAAGAAGAAGAACCTTAATATGAATAAAGTGGGGGTGGGGGTGTCAGCAGTGACACCAACAATACATTCCATTGAATAATGCAATTTCCATATACACCCAACAAAAAACAAAAACAAAAACCCATGAATATCCATATTAATTGCCTAGGCTGACGTGGGGAGCATCGGATGGGTCCACGTGTCAATACCCCAGAGCATGGATTGCCAAGACAAAGATAAAGACTGTGCGGTGACAGACAGGGTGCAGTAAATGAGGCAGTAGAAATAAAGGGTCAAATTTCAAAAATAGTGAATGTGGAATTGTGGATATGGATGGACGCCCTTTCCCCTGTCACACTAACATTCAAACAACACAAACTAAACCACACAGAACAAAAAGAATTAGGGTTTGGTTTTCAATAATTGCAAAAATGCTTTGGCTTCACTTTCTAAGAAAACCCTAACATATTATCATGTATTTGTTTCTACCGAAAATGTTCGATAAAGAGCAATAAATCTACGAGAACACTTGAATGAAGAATCATTCTCTTTAATTTAAGGGTATTTAAAATATTCAGTTATAATCGTTGGTGTAAAGAATTTGAATTTATGGTTATCTCCGAGAACCGAACAAATTGTACGCATTAAGGGAGGAATATAGTTGAGCGGTTATTTATCCAAACGTTAAAATCAAGTTTGGAAGCTTTCGCCTGGCAAGCTTTCAGTCGAACTGTTGATGACGTGTTCCAAATTACCATTATCAATATTGAAAATTAAGTATTAAGACCATAACATGATACAATCATGGTCATCTCTTCCACTCCTTACTCTTTACCCTATTTATACCAAATCTTTGTCTTCTAACTACCTTTGGTTCTTTCTTATTCAAACCAAAAAGAAAAAAAATAATAATTTTTATGTATAATTATACAAATAAATCAACTCTTCAAAATTATATATATTTCTTAAATTATATTTTTGCAATTTTGATTAATTAAGGCTTGAAGTACAAGGAGTGGTTCAAATTAATTTGGAATTTTTTTTTTCTATAAATTACATCTAGAAACAAAAAGGTAAAGATTTAAACATTCAACTCAAAATGAGGACCTACACATGCCTATAGCTAAATTTAGTTATTGATTTGTTTGTAACATAAAGGAATAATTGGTATATTTTCTTACTTGAGCTTTCTAAAACAGTTAATTTTGAGATTCCAAACTATTTCTCTTTTGCTCTGACTATGGTAAAATGTACTCAACAAACACTATGAGATAAAAGGGCTAATTTTTGGGATGCTCATCAATTTTACTTTGGTAAAAATGTATAGAGCCGTAATATTTTTGTTTCTTAGTGCTTCATTTTTTTTTCATATTTTAAAAATCTCAAAGAAATACCATGCACAAGTGCTTAAAAGTTAGCTATTTATTATTTCAAATTTAGATAAAATTAATGTTTTCAAAACCAAAATAATAATAATAATTAGTTTAACATTTACACGATTCAACCATCAAGTTCGAATCGATTAATAAAATGGTTAAAATTACTTGATGTTTGAAAGTGATTTTGACGTTACAGAATCACTGTCAAAATTACTCATTTAAATTTACAATGTTTTACGAGGCATTGCCTCCCACTAAGGAGTTCCACCTTAAGCATTGATTCCTCTGGCTCTCTCTTTGTGTCATGTGTTTTCTTTTTCCTTTTTAGTACATATGGATTGAAAGATCGAACTCACAACCTCATGATTGGAGATATATACCAATTAACGCTGAACTATACTCGTTTTTATGTGTTTGTTTTGGATAAAGAGGTGAAATATCACTATTGATACTGACCATGACATCCTCTGGTCTATCAAACACCATTATCATATCATATGCTGAAAATTACCCAAAAATAAACACATCCAACCAACAAAGACGATGCCTCTTTTGGAACTTTTGCTACAATTTTAATAATAACGATGTAACACCCACCACCCACTCCATGTGAGAGATAACAAGAACATGAACATGAACAAGAACAAGAGATATATGTGCTTTCTCTTTCTCCACCTCAAACCGACCTTGGGAAAATGCCCAAATTAAAAGCCCTTCACCACCCATGAGGATAAGCACCGCCGCTGCTGCTGCTTCTGCAGGCGCCAGAAAGTCAGCAACTTGAAGGTTGGCCAGCGCCCAATCCCAACATCTTCTTTTATCCAATCTCTCTTTTGCACACATCTTTAGGAAACTTCGCCGTCGTCTTCTTCCTCAACGCCACCGCCGCTTTGGCTACTGCTGCTTCCACTGCCATTCCCAGCCACTGTTACTGCCCCATCATTATCATCATCATCTTCTTCTTCTTCTTCTTCACCGTCCATTGAAGATGGACTAGAATTTGGTTGGCCATGGGGGGCGGGCTGTTTCTGGGCACCAATGGGGAGCGGCTCCGTCAGCTGCCTCCCGTCCCGAGGCGGCAAAAACACCACTGGCAGGTAGTGGTCCATTTCGCATGGGAACTTTGAGTTCTTGAAGTGCTCCTTCAGCGCTTCCAGTCCCTTCAATTTTATTTTTACTTTTAACCATTAATAATACAAACAGACAAACAGACAAACAAACAAACAGTTGAATATACATATATGATCAGAACTCAAAAGATCAGGATTGGTGACAATCCAATCACCTGTACTCTAGCATAGGTGACTTCACAGATTTTTCTGGAGTTGAAGACCTCCCATGGCTGAAGATGAAACGCTTTGTACAGCCTCCAAGTGGCCTCCGGTGAAGTCATGTTCACAAACCCATACCCAACGTTACACTTGTTGCTGTATATTACAATGAAATAAGTTTTAAAACTCAGAAGCGTTATATTGTTTTCAATCCCAATAACCAGGGAAGAAATCTTTAGCGAACCCTCACTTGAAATCGATGGGGAGATATACAAAATCGTAGGAGGAAAGGGGCTGCTCATCGCCCTCGCCCATCTGCTCGTTGCAGTGAATGCAGTGGTTGTCCAGCATGTTCAACAGCAACTTCTGACTGCACCCATTTCACAAAACTATACCAATGAAAAAGAAATTTCCCAATGTCTAATTACACAAATCAAACACACCCACTCATACTTGAAAAGAGATTTTTTGGTTTCTTTTGTTTTCGAACCTGTACTTGTTGGGGATGTTCTTGATCATCACAGTGGTCCTTGAATCTCGGCAATCGGAATCCGACGACGTGGTGTTATCGTTTATCAGGAATCGGGAATCGAACTTCTTGGATTGTCTGCATTTCCTTAGCTTACTCCTGGTGGGCGCCGGCTGCAGTTGCTCAGCAGGGCTAATACTACTGTGGCCGCTTTTTGAATTCTTTCTCAAATCCCCACATGGTTCTCTCTCGTCGATTTCGTTACACACAGCGCCTTCCAAATCGAGGGAAGCCATTTTCCCGTTCAGGTCGTTGGAATCCAGGCTCTTCCTAGGGTTACTACTCGGGCTTCGGCTCCCCTTCCTGGAGGAACTCAATTTCCTAGAGAAACTCTGGGTTTTTGGATAGTACCACCGCGGCGGAACGTTGGAGGCTGCGCCACCGGAGAAACTTCTGGGCGGCGTCGGAGGTGGAGGAGGAGGCGGCGGTGGCGCGCATTTCAGACTCCTGGGGTAGAGATTGTTGGCGCCGCCGATGGTCGGAGCGGTGAAGAACTTGTTGCCATGGCCGCCCGGCCGACTGAACTCAATCACAACCGACTTTCCATTGATTTCCTTTCCGTTCATCTCTTTTAGAGCCTTCCCCGCGTCCCTGATGTCAAAAAATTCAACGAACCTCTGCTGTTTCTTCAACGGCGTCTCCCTCAACTCCTTCACCGGACCTTACAGCAGAAATTTCAAGAAATTAAAAACAGTAGGTCATGTTCATGAAGATTTTCTCACAGACAGACAAATAGAACAGACAGAAAGTGAGCAAAAAAGACCCATCAAAGATTGCGTTATATAAATATATAAATAAATATCCCAAACCCCACAGCCGAGTCCCCACAAATTTCTCCGAGACCCATCAAAAAGCTCCCCATACTCCATTTTAAAACCAAAATCAAACGAAAAAACGGAGGAGATGGAGTTGTTATTTTGTATACCAAAAGCCTCGAAAATTTCAGTGAGACAAGAAGTGGAAACAGCGGAGTCCAAATTGAAAATGACGATGGTGCCCTGATTCTTGCCAGCCGGGACGGCGTTGCTGGCCGGAACGACGAAGTGGGCCCAGACGGCGTGGCCGGCGATGAGCCCACGCGCCGGAGAGGGGCGT